AAAAAAAAAAAAAAAAAAAAAAATTATAATAAATTATTATGAAAATAATATTTAGTCGATTATTACCTATGACATCACTAGTCATTTGACATGTAACAACACAACAATTTCCTGTCAGCTGTCAATTGCACGTCAGCTGCAATATGTTTCGTTTTCGGTGATTTGGTATAATTTATTTATTTTAAAATTACAAATTCTACGAGCATTTTATAGTGAGTGTGATGTGTCTAGCAAAATGTCTGAAGAAGAAATCGTGGATATAGAACAGGAATTAAGTGATCTCTTAACTAAAGTCCAACCCAACCTGCAAGATGTTATCAAAAGGGTAAATAAACGATATTATTGTGCAGTATCTTTATTTATATCCACTATTATAATAATATTACACTATTAATTCTTTACTTATAGAGTTTTACGAATGTGGCTCTTCAGCAGACGAAGAATGGTGAACAAATCAAACCAGACACACTGGGTGACACCTCCTATTTCGCAAAAAACACTCAAGTGTAAATATTTTTATTTTTGTATGTTTTTAACACCAAATTAGAATTGCCATAATATCGCATAATGACTCGAAATTAATTTGAATTTCGCTTCATGCAGAATGATAGAGAATATTTATTTTTAATTTTACCAAACTTACCTTGCATATACTATATATTTCAGGAACCTCTTCCGTTTAGAACTTGTGAAGGCACCTACATTCCACATGCAGGCTCTGTCATTAGATTTGAAATCCATGATTCTTACACTGCGATGTTCACTTGGGGAGGTCAATGTAAAGGGTCTGTATAGTGCATTTAATGAGAACTTGTATAATCTCATTCCTGTAATGGCTGAAGGACATGTTGTGTAAGTAAACCACATTTTCTATCATATATTCTAATCCATAGCTCCATAATCTCTGCCTAGCCCTATATTCTAATCATAATTGGTTGAGATTTACAATTATTTGTTTCATGTTTGACTAGAATGTAATAATAGCACGATGAGATGATGCATTCACATTTTATTTGTAATGAAACGGTTTTGATCACCGTCATTATCAACAGAGAATTGCTTCTCATGTTTTGTAAGTGTATTTACAAACATATAAGTTCACACATTTCTATGTTTAAATGTCTTAGTGTTAGTTTCATTTATAGTTTATAGAATAAAATTTTTATTTATTTCTGAAAATATAATACACCAAAATCATAATCCCAAATATTAAATTCTTAATAAAAAATATAAATCAACTTCACACATGTAGTATGTGTGAATGAAGTTGATTTATATTTTTTATTTTTTATTGCCATTGTTTTATATGGTGATAAAATTTTCTAATTGGATAATTAGATAAAAAGGTTTGGTATATATTTTAATTTTTTTATGGGATAAGCCACTAACCTAGGAGACATATCACCTGATGGTTTTTTTTATGGCATTAGCCGGTAAACGAGCCGACGGATCACCAAGTGGTAAGCAATCGACATCGCCCATGGCCACCCAAAACACCAGAGGTGTTTCAAGTGTGTTACCTGCCTTTTGAGGATTAGGAGTTTGAGGATCATTGGGGATTCGGGGATTGGGGAGACTGGGAAGGAAGCATAATTGGGCCCCGGTAACCTCAATCACACGACGACATTTTCTATGAGGCCGTGGTATCTCTCCGGTCGAAGCGGCCCATTCGTGCCGAAGCATAGCTCTCCCACACTTAAAAAAAAAGAGGTTTACATAAATAACAAGTTGAAATATTTTATTGTTCAGGTCTGTCCATCATATTGGAATGGGTAGGTTATCATTAATTATGAATGTGTTAATATTGTTATATTTACTTTTATTGACGAATAAACCTGTTATTCTAGAATATCATTGTCGAACATGATCGCAGATGTAAGGGTTGGCTTAGTGCTCGAAGATGATGCGTTCTCATTCATCAATCCCGGCATTGAGTTCACACACGATGAAGTCCTTGTAAAGGTAATTACAATACGTATTTATAAACTCTTATTTAAATTGCAATCTTGTCTTGTAACTACTTCATTACATGGTATAAAACAAAGTCGCTATCCGCCGTCTGTCTGACTGTCCTGTCTGTATATACATAGGGTTTCGATTTTTAAAACTTCGCAACTGATTTTGATGCGGTTTTTTTTAAACTGTCAAACACCAAGCGGTCACCGGTGACCACAACCTATTGTTCTATAATTGTGTCTACAAAACCGGTACTCGACGAGTTAATAGATACAGTGATTCTTAAGGAAGTCTTATATTTATAATACATGCATATTGCACAAGTGTAAAGCTGGGGCGGGTCGCTAGTATTATACAAAGCTGAAGAGTGTTTGTTTAACCTCCTATCGGCCGGTATATCAGACACAATAGAAGGCACGTTGTGTCTCGCGTATGTCTTCCGGCATACCAGGGGTTAGTTGAACGCACCAGTCTCTGGGACTACTTGTCTGATTGAAATAATTCTTTATATGTTGGATAGCGGTATAAGGCTATTAAAAATCGCGCTACGATCAACGGGCGCTGAGCAGAGCGAGTGAAACCGCGCGCGATTAGGTAGTTTATAATATGCATAATTATGAATTGTGGATTCATTTATTAATTTTATGCGTAAACATTACTTATTTTCAATTAAAATTAATATATCAGGAATATATTTATATTTTAGTATAATTATTATTTGTTATTTCCTTCCTCTTATATTAATGAATATTTATTTTAATTGGTTTCAGTTGTCCTGGCCATCTCCACAACGGAGTGGCGGTTACGAATTCGCTACGACCGAACAGCTAGCTAAACACATAGGTAAGATATTATGGAGGTTAAAGGTTTTATTCTATTTAACTATTTTAAAAGTTCTCTGAGACTTCTAGACAAGGGATCTTGGGTTTGATTCTCGACTCGGGCTAAGTACTAGGGTTTAAAACATTCTCAATAGTAGCACGATGTCAAGGAATATATACCCGGTATATGGCAATAGGCTCACCTCCTCATGTAAAAACATGGGACTCATAACATAAATAGTGAAAGTGGGTATTACATTGTACAGTGGAATAATGTGCCGTAATGTGTACCTCTGCCTACCCCTACGGGGATAAAAGGCGTGATATTATGTAAAAATTTCCTCGCTTGTCTTATTTACCGCCGTACTCAGAGTCATTTAACGGGTACTTTAGAACCTAACGGGTAACCGGGGCTCCGGCTCGACGCGCAGGAGAAGGAACAGGGTGGTTTTTAGTCAGTAAGAGTCTGCAGGCGGGAGCAGTCATTCGATGATTTTCCCCTGTTGGGAATGGGTCTCTTCAATAATAGTGGACTGTATTTTAAACTGGTATATTAGAATTAACAACGGTAAGAAAGATTGTGTTGCGTCGTCCGCGAACGATCCCAAAAAAAAAGGATGGTGGCCGTGCGCCGCTTCCGCTCGCGTCGCCCTCCCCCGCGCGCCCCGCCTCTCTTCCGGGAGCGTCCGGCTGCGTTCACGCGCAGACATCCCCCCTTCAAAAAAAAACCCAGTCCTTAGCAATTGTGTTCGGAACAAGATCGTTACTAAGTAATAGTTTAAGTAATCATTAAATGTATGTATCTCAGTACGGCAGTTAATAAATGTTAACATTTCCAATCTATGTAATTTCATTCATATACCTTCGACTTTACGTTGAAGCAATAAAGTTAAAAATCGGTCACTAGAAATGTCCTTATTGTACCTACTTAGAATAAAATGTAAATAAACTAAGTAGGTATACATACATAAAGTATCACATTTGTCGACAGGAAAAGAGACCAACAGGCCAACAGGTTGGCAGTATTACCGATTTCCATGTTGAATAGCATTTTCAAATATTCCAAAGACTATATTTTAGTTTGAAATTCCTATTTTAGCCGGTTCACCACCATTCGTATGTAAATTAATTGTTATCGGCGTACACGCTGATAACCGTACGACACAACAATTAAGTTTGTTGCTGATATAATGAAGGAATTGTGTAATACACGAATAGGTACTTTCTATAATCACCTTTACTGCTTAGGAAATTATACATGAAATTGTATAACAGAACATCGCGCCTTCTATTGCCTATGGGTTACTTTTTTTAAAAATATACAAAAAAATATCTTGTGCGTACTGCCAAGGAGTGGAATTCTTTGCCAGAGTCTGTGTTTCCTGAAGGTATACCCTTCCACCTGGGTGTCTTCAAGGCCCGAATGAATAGGTTGCTTATGGGACGACGTGCTTCATCGTAGATCGCATCATCGTTTACCACCAGGCGAGATAGTGGTCAAACGTCTGCCCTGTTATAAGTGTGTTGTAAAAACAAACACGAATTCACCCAGACCTGAAACAACTAATTATGTTGCTCTGGAAATCGAACCTGCTATACGTTGCGCGGCAGCGGTTACCCGAACACAGCGCCATCGGTGCAGTCAAAAGTACTTGTAACACTAATTTTTCTCCAATTATGTCGTAAAGATCGGCTTAGACTCAAAATGAAAATAGTTTTCGTAAGAAATCAAAGTCAAAGTCAAAGTCAAAGATCTTTATTGTGAGACAGTGGTTACAAAGGTTGTTCTAAAGGTTGTTGTGTTCATGCACTGCTCCACCATGTTAGGCATACAATAGTTTGTGACAAAGCATATAAATTGCAGTAGCTATACATTATAATATTAAATACTGATTGAATAAAGAAACTTGTATTAATTTCATTTTGCATCAAAACATAAAATGGCGTTTCAACTGTTAACGAATCTGTCAGACAAAAATTCATGCAATGTATAATATGGTCTGTTTACCAGGAAGTCAAACATTTTTTTCTTAAAATAGTCTACCTTTTCAATTTCAAATCGCTTGATAATTTCGTATTAGAAAGTGTAAATATAACATTTTACAAAGGCCTGACACAATTAATTGCGTAACAATGTAAACCGGTTAAATTGATAAACTAGTTTCATTTTTTTTATTCAAATTCTATCCGGTTATTCGATACAAATCGTGATAACTTTTGAGATTTTATCTGGTACGTTGTTCGAGCGGTTGGAAGTGCGCTTAGGATCTTGTTTCTCGAGTATGTAGAACTTTTAGACTTCGAGAAAATGTCCCTTACAAGCACGGAGTCTGGTATGATGCAGTGTAATAAGACGCACCCGTATTAGCCATGCTTCATTCAGCACATATTGACCGGTTCAGTTGTATTTCGCCGAGTGAGTGAGGTTACTGGAGGCCCAATTCCTCCCCTCCCCATTCCATTGTCCTCAACCCATCAGGTGATTTGACTGCTCGTTTACTGGCCTATCCCATAAAAAATGATATCTTGGAAACCCTCCGTCATATCTAGATGACCTGCCTCTAACGGCGGCAGTGTCCCTGCCTCTGTACGCGCTGCTGAGGGAGAAGCTACAGCTGCATCTAGCGCTGGTGCTGCGCCAGGCTACCAGCGTCTCAGAGGTCATGTGCTGTAACCCGTCGCTGATGGAAGCTTACAGGTATATTTCTTATTTATTTTAAAAGATACGTTTTATTTTCAACTTTTGTGAGTGCATTTACAAACACCACCGTTATTTTTTTTTATTTGTTATTTAAAAATGTAATTTATAGAGAATTTTAAATATATATATGGATAAAATAATCGAGTAAACTTGACTTTAAGCTTAAAAACATTGCATTGTACAAATGAGAGACTTTTGATAAAACATTACTCATTTTTTATAGATAGATTAAAAGTCTCTCAACTTGTCAACTAGTCTAAGAAGTAAACATAAACTAGACTGTCCGTACTGTTCTCCAGCGGTATGATCGACGGGCTGGCTCGGAACGGCAACAAGGTGGTGGACATGATCCTCATCAACATCCGCCGCACGCTGCTGCAGAGCTGTCGGGAACTACTGCAACTGCCACCGCTCCACGCTACCTTCATGCATAAAGTGAGATCATTGACCACGCAAAAATCATCATTATTATTAGCCTATTACAGTCTTAAATGTCTTTAAACGGCCCTGAGCTCACGAACTCGCTTTTCAACTCTTCGCATCCAACCATTGCCAACCACTTAACTAATAAGAACACACTCCAAAAATAATATGGAAAATATTTATTTAGCACTAACCACGGTGCAGACCTGAAGACCGAGCGCAGTGGTGTGCCATTGGAGAGGGTTATGTTCAGCAGTGGATGAAAACAGACTGTTAATGATGATGAACCACGATACAACAGGACCTAACTACCTAATATATTGATACAGTACAAGCAACTTTATTGTGTTCCAGATAGGATCATTATCGTTTATCGGTAAATTTGAGACGGACACGGGCTGGGTGAAGAACCTGGCGACCATCAACCGAATCAGTGACGTCAGCGTCACGCGACCGGACCCCATGAAGACCAGCTTCTACGTCACGTTGAGGATAAAAGATTTGCAAGTAAGTCCTCGCCTTGATATTTATCAGTTTTTATAGACTTACGTAACTTTTGATATACATTCCCAAGCACAAAAAATCTTACTAATCTTCCCATCTTACTGAAATAAAATGATGATTGAATGACGAGAATTCTTACCATCTTACTGTCTTACTAAAATAAATTCAAAAGCTTGTGAGATTGTGTTTGTTACCCAAACACGTCAAAACGGCTGAAAGGATCGAGATGAAATTTGTAACGGCGGTATATTATGGTGTGAAATAACACTATAACAATTTAAGTGTGGGAGAGCCATGCTTCGGCACGAACGGGCCGGCTTGGCCGGATTGATTCCACGGTCGAGCAGAAAAACACATATACGCGGGTGAAGCCACAAGTATAAGATAGGTATCACACAAAGAGGATTTTGTGTTCACAGATTGGTTACGACGAATACCGTATCCGTGCGATGGGCGTGTCGTGCGCGGGGCGCGCGGCCGCGGCGCTGCACCGACACTCGCTGCACCTCGCGCTCACACTCGGCCTCGCGCACTGGGAGCCATACGCACAGCTCGACCATCTACGAGTGCACAACTTGGAGTAAGTAGCCATACAACATAAATTAACCCCCCACGAGGGTCATTTTAGGGCGTTGTTTATAATCTGCTAGCGATTTTGATCTTTATTTCTTAGTGAAATTATATAGTCTACCTGCTAACCTCAAGTGCTTTTTTCTATGTGATTTTGGTAAATTATGGTAAAAATTATATTGGACCAAGTACACTGCCTTGTGGAATCCCTAGCAAAACATCTTTGGTTTACTGGGATGTCGCCAACATAATGTTCTACTTTCATTTTTGTCCTTGTCCCTTCCAGTGCAATAAAGGTGTTTTGTTAACAAAGTGTTCTACTTTCCCCAGTTGCGCAGACTTGCACGTAACGGGTCTCGGTCCGTTGAGCGGGGCTTCGAGCCTCGTATGCGCGTGGTTACGAGGAGCTTCCACCTCCCTCGCAGCGCCCGCGGTATCTGCGCAGATACAGCACGAGCTACACACCGCATTACAAGAACTACCATTATGGGATCTGCTACATGCCAAACACTGACGTAAGATGCTACAGCGACAGGTTATATAACATGTTACTGCAACGTAAGACTGCGCAACGTGATGCAGGTAATATTTATTTAGGAATTGTTCCGTGCCAAATGGATGAATTATATATACATACATACAATCGTACGGATGATATTTGTTATGTTTTTGAGATGTCGGCTATTGCGTATATTTATTGTCTAGCTTAAACGAAGGTCGTCAGATTAAAACAGAATGCTCTAAGAATTTACGTTGGTGGGCCTTTTATGCACTTCGAGAAAAATTCTCTTCGATTTGTCTTTCTCTACACCACTATGTACTGGATATTTCTTTCTTTATTCTTTCTTTTCGGACTACAAAATGAGCCCTTACTAGATTCGGTTGAATATATACCAATATAGGTCCTCCATAATTTCAAAATCGTCAAATTAAGATCGAATTTAAACATGAGTTCTATAAGTTTTGTGGTAAGATCAAACGGTTATCGAAATCGGCAGTTAGAAGGTATGTGATATAAAGGTCCTGTCCTGTTACACAATATCTGATTACTGACTGCCGGGCAACGGGTTCGATTCCTGGGTCGGGCAAAGTATTACTGAGTTTTTAAAAATCTCAGTAGTAGCACGGAGTCTGGAAATGTGCCCGGTATATGGCAATAGGCTCACCCCCTATTACATGGGACTTATAACATAAATAGTGAAAAGTGGGTGTTACATTGTGCAGTGGCATTAAGTGCCAAAATGTGCACCTCTGCCTACATGCCGTGATGTTATGATATGTTATGCTATTCTTCAAAGTTACGTTTCACTGCCATCGTTTTCTATAAATCATTTTACATTATCACGTTTTATATTGTTTTTAACTGCCGTTTCGCATGTGTAAAGTATTGTATAATTTTATAGTTCGATTCCAAATCGGGATTGTTGTTGTAAAATGATATCATTGTACATAAAAAGTAATTTTGTATTTATATTATATATTTTTGACTCCTTTTTACATCACTGTGGTCTTCCGATATTTTTATTGTATAAATATAATGTGTTTAGTACATAAGTATCTAGTTTTTTTATGTTCTTTTCTCATTTATTTTATGTATAACAGATTATTAAAATATGTGTAAATTATATACAATGTACCTCTATAAAATAAATATTCTATGTCTTTAATACGTATTTAAAATCAAATGACTATGCAACTATTCTGTAAATGTAAATTACATAAAAAATATGATTAACCTGTTTGACATAACATAATAAATTCAAAGTACTGGTTGAAGAAGTACATTCATACTTTATATTAATCGATAATAATAGTAAACAAGAAGATATTATTAAAGAGCAATAATTGTTGTAGTAAATTATTTAAAAAATGTATTATTATTTTGAAAATATATTGGTTGTGTTGTGAGTGCCTTTTATCTGCTGAGACTGTTGTAATTTGTATTTTTACTATACGAGTTGTTAAATAAAATGTTTCATAATTATTACATGTTTTTATTATGCTACATCTATTAAACTACTTCCCTACGTAGTATAAAACAAAGTCGCTATCCACCGTCTGTCTGTCCCTATGTATGCTTAGATCTTTTAAACTACGCAACGGATTTTGATGCCGTTTTTTTAATAGATAGAGAGATTCTTAAGGAAGGTTTATATTTATAGTACATGCATATTGCACCCGTGCGAAGCCGGGGCGGGTCGCTAATTAGTACATAAAATGTACCTATATGTAATTTTTATAAGACGATATTGATAAACGAAGCTGTCGTAGCGAATTAGCGATCACTGTCGTTAGCCGTGAGATGATTTTTTATGGAATAAACCGGTAAACGATCAGACGGATCACCTGATGGTAAGCAATCCACACCGCCCATGGATACCTGAAACACCAGGTGTTACAAATATCGGACTTTTGGGGATTAAGAATTTCAGAATTAAGGAACACCACGCTGCGCTCCACAACTAAAATCGTTGACGTTGGCCATAAAGCCGCAGGCTTGAAGTGGAACTGGGCTGGTCATATCTGCCGCATGTCAGATGAGCGGTGGGCAAAACTTACTACTGAGTGGAGCCCACTCAACGTCAGTAGACGTCGCGGCAGGCCCAAAAGGAGATGGCGGGACGAACTAGACATCTATGACAAGGATTGGCCGCAAAAAGCTTTACATAGAGAGGTGTGGAAGGAGGGTAGGGAGGCCTTTGCCCTGCAGTGGGACGATCATGGCTGAAAATAAATAAATAAAATAAAGGGGATCCGGGGATCGGGAAGAGGGGTAAACAGGCCTCCGGTAACCTCACTCACACGAAGAAACATAACGCAAATGTTGTTTGACTTCAGTTTTCTGTGAGGCCGTGCTACTCGTGATTGTGAGTTCCTGGCGTGGCTTGTAAACTGGTCGAGTTACCTCGTCGAACTGTTATGTGAGTAAGTCGTAAAACATAATTGATTTAAGATATTATAATATACATAGACTAAAATAAGTGCATGATTTTTTTTATAATAACTCTCTTTCTCTTTTTTATTCTCTTTTTATAAAAACGTTACCCCACATTAGGATTTTCTCCTGTGTCGTGGGTGCGTTTATAAACATACAAGTTCACATACAGAATGACATCCAGACCCGAAGCAACAATTTGTGGATCACACAAAGTGTTGTTCCGTGCGGGATTCGAACCCGCGACACGTTGCACGGCAGCCGGTTGTCCAGCCACCGCACCAACCGTGCAGTCAAATAACTATCGTGACATCTGACATACTGAATTAACTAAAAATGACGAGTTACTCCAAGTTGTAGAAAAGGTTAATAATTTTTTTTTTTTTAAAACGTTGCCCCACACTAGGATTTTCTTCTGTGTCGTGGGTGCAGTGCCGGATTAGCCACGTAGCAAGAGTAGCAAATGCTACGGGCCCCGCGAATTGGGGGGCCCCGCTCCCCCGCTCAAATAGGTATTTTGTAATTACACCACTTCAACAGCAAGACTTATGAAGAAAATGTTTTGTTTACAAAACTACTACCAACCTAGGTACATGTAATTTGATTTTTTTGTTAACGAAATTAACGAAAAAAGACAAATAGTTGGTATTTTGTATGTGTAAGAAAAGGAAAGTGAGTATTTGTTCGCTTGGTTGGTACCATTGGCGGGCGAACCGAGCCCGATTTAAACGAATCAAAAATGAATTTATTAAGGAACACTACGG